GTTCTCCAAAATAAAAACCAAGTGTTTAAAACACTTATTTGATGTATTTGGCTAAGAAATCAAGTGAGACACTTTAAAATTCACGTCATTTGAGTAAAAACCACGGCTAGCCAAGTTTACGCTGTTTTGCGTGGTTTTTGTCAAACGACTAAAAAGCGAGAGATGGTTTTCAAAGTGTTTTATTTGGAGAACCGTTTAAACATGCCAAAGAGTGAAAGCAGATCATAAAATGCTGAAAACCACTTGGTTGGTTCGGATGCCAAAAACCAAACCCGACAACCGAAAGCCGAACGCTGGTTTCTGAAAGCCGAACACTGGATGGCTTGGTTTTTGGTTTGGGCGAACACCAAGTGTTTTTAATGACTTAAACAAGTTTGAAAAACATTTTTATGATGTAAGAAATGCAATGAGAGTTTTTAGCCTAAAGAGCCAAGATGTAAAGATTGGGTCGGTCTTGATCACAATAAAGACCGACTCAATACTATGATTAAGGTCTTCGTTCAGCTCTTGCTCTTATCTTCGTTCTTCGCCTTGTATATTCAATGTTCGACTTGATCATGGCGGTTTGGCATTATCAAAACCTGTTACAAAAACGAACACGACTTTAGTACGAAAACGTGACAAGCCCGTGTTTCAACAATTTCCCCCTTTTTGATAATGGCAAACGAGACGAGGTTATGCATAGGAGGATTATTTAAAAAAAACAATGTTCTCCCTTAATAGATGCCATTTTACAAAGTAAACTTTTATTCATGAAAAAAGGGAAATGCGGAATACAACGGAATGGAAATAAAAAAATACAATCATAGTAAGAGGAGAAAAGAAAAGTCTAAGCATCGGCGTCCTCATCGTCCTCGACATCCATGGGATCGCCGTCGAACGCATCTTCAAAGTCGGCCTCGTCGGGGGAGGAGGATGGAGCATAGGAGTTATCCTCCTCATCCTCGCCTTCATAGTTTTGGCCGAGGAAGGTGCTGTCAAAGGGCGGCGGGACGTAGTTGACGCCGCGGAAGAACGCCGTCATGTCGTGGTGTTGGCGTTGCAGCGTCCAGTCCATCCGCTCGATTGACTGCTCCATGCCGTCTACTGTGAGGGTTAGCCGATTCAGAGTATCGGCTATGGATTGCAAAGAGGCCTTGGCGGGAGCGGGGGCTGGTGCACGACTCGGGCCTGCGTCGTCCCGGTCTCCGGACTTCTTCCGGAAGGTGCTGTCTTGAATTATCCAAATCTTTGTCATCTTCGTATCTGGGCCGGCGATGGAGATGTCGGCGGAGATGATGAGGTCCATGACGAGGAAGGCGTATGGCAAGCTCCGCCCAGTGGCGATGGAGGCGCAATCCGCCATGTGGATCATCACGAATTTTGCCCAATTGATGGAGGCGCCGTGGATGATGGCATGAATCGCCTTCAAATCCTCGTTGAAGAGCGAGGTATGGCTGCTGTCTCGGGGGCGGAGAATCCGGGTGATGATGTAGAGGAGGAGGCGCTTGTTCAGTGGGGCCGAGTGAATTGTCGGTGCGCCGCTGTGGCGGATGAGGTTGGTGATCCCAATCATCGCCGCCATATGTTGCGATGTCGTCACCGCAGATGGGCAGCCCTGCGACCCGAGCGAAGGTAGCCAAATCAATCTCTATGTCGTAGAGATTGATGCTACTGCGAATGGTGTCCCCGTCAGGGCGGAGATTGGAGTAGAAAGCCCGGATGAAGGCGGGATTGAAGCTCGAGCTGCTCTTGGAGACGAATGGCCACAAACCCGACGCTTGGGGTTGGTTGTCGAGGTCGTGGTACCCTTTGTCTTGGGGAAACAACTCCGGGAGCACGCAAGGTGGAGAGATCGGGCGCTTGGCAAAGTGAGTGAGGAAGCGTGTGAGTTCTTCCTCCGACCCGAACTCAAGAAATGATCCGTCCAAATATGGGAACGGAGGAGGCGCGGAGCTTGAGGGTTCGGCGGTGCTTTTTTTCTTGGAAGCCTTAGGCTTTGATCTTCCTCCGGCCATGATTGAGGCGTTTTTGAAGAAAGATTGAAGAAATAAGTGGTATAGGCTAAATAAATGAAATAATGATGTTAATTGTGTGTTAAGAAGGTAAGGGATGATGTGAATATATAGGGAGAGGAGTAAAAAGACGTGTGAATTCAAAAAATATGGCTGTTGGGCATTAAATTCGGTGCCCAGCGGCCATAATATTTGAATTTCAACAGCCTTCCCAGCGATGGTAGGAACTACCCATCGATGGGAGGGTCGCTACTGGAAAGCGAAGGAGAAAATCAGATTGCCTTCCCAGCGATGTGTGGACTCTCCCATCGATGGGAAGGTGGGTTCTGGAAAGTGAAGGATAAAGGACGAAGGCCTTCCCAGCGATGTTAATACCATCCCATCGCTGGGTTGGTAGTTTTGAAAATTCGTTAAAAAATTTTAAAAAATAGTATCAAACACCCAGCGATGGGAGGAAGTTCCCATCGATGGGAAGAGGGGTTTTGAAAGCAAGAAGCTTCCCTCCTAGCGATGGTATAACCCACCCATCGCTGGTTCCCCCTGACTTCCGGATTTCTTCACTTTGGACCGTCCCTGCAAAAAGGAACAACACTTTGGTACCCAAAGTAAGTCTATGGGTCCTTGGGGGTTAGTTTACCTTTATTGCCCACACACACACCCAAAATATGTTTCCATATGCGCACACACACACATACACGATTAAATGATTGTTTAGGAGTTACCTTGGCCAACCCATCGTCTTGTGGTTGGCGGGTTCCAATCTACCTGAACGGAGTGCCGATATCTCGGTGTGATTTGTGTCGGTTCCGGTAACGGAATGTGGACATTCTTCTTTTCGTCAAAGTAGAAGAAATAATAAGGTTTCTTTTGTGCATTGTCCTGTGGAGATTGTTTATGATTTGAATATCCTTTTCCAAAGGATTTCTTTTCATTAGCACCAAATACGTTGTGTGTTTCATTGTAGGTGAAGTGCCTATGTCTGGTGAAACACACGGGAGCTATATGT